ACCCTGTATACATATACAAAAGGTGCAAGATTCGGTATGTTTAGTTGATAATGTAATAATGCAAATAAAGAAACGGGCGCATTTTACATTTATTGCAAATGTTTCATCTGACAAATTGATGATTATGTTTTGAGCAAATTGGTGCATGGAAGAACAAACTGATGCAAATAACATACATGTACAGTATGGACATACATGTACAGCTATGTCAGAGCAATATGATAAGTAAGACTTTAATCCCTAATTATTCAATTTCTATAAAATGAGTTTCGTTAAAACTGATAACTAATCTGTTTGTTAGAGTCAATGGATTAATTTCCTACAGCCAACGATTCTAAGTTCCACAAAAAATAGTTTGCAAATTAAGTTTTTTATATTTATTTGATTGTATATTATCCCCCATGTTATGATTAACATTGTGTTAATCATTGGAAAAATAACTTTTTAATTCTTAATTAATAAGTTTTCCTCACATGTTTACTCTATTGTTTCTCTGTCACATCAAGGTTACAATAAACGACATTTAAATCCCCCTCTTATATTACACAGGCACAACCACCTGTTTTCACTTTGTCAGCCACAAAAAACAATCTTGACACAGAAATGCTCAATATTCAGCTAAATAAATTACGCATTTTATACAGGCCCGTACCTAGCGACCCCCTCCCTTTGACCATCAATTCTTTCAAGATCATGCAGTTTTTCACCATCTCGTACATGTATTGACATGTCAGAGCAATATAAAAAAAACTTTAATCCCCAAGTATTTTATTTCTACGACATGAGTTTTGTTCACTGATAACTAATCCGTTTGTTATGAGTTAAAGGATTAATATCTACAGCAGATGGTTGTGATTTCCACAGTAAAATAGTTTGCAAATTAAGTTTTTCTAATTTATTTGATTCTTTAATGTCCCTCTTGCTATGATTAATATTGTGTTAAAATTTGGAATTAATCGATTAACTCATTGAAAAGTTAATTTTTGATTTTTAATAAATGACTTTTCTCCACCTTTAATCCACAGTTATTACCCAAATGTTGAAAGAAACAGTGAAAGGTTAAACTAGGCTCATGAGTATGTTTCAATTTGAGACATACATGTAGTATGTGATGTGCTCCAGGTACATCAGTATATTAAAAAGTTCAATTTAGCGCATTAGTATACATGTAGTTCAATTTGGCGCATTATTTATGATGTTCAAAGTACATCCTTACAGTGAAAGATTAAACTTGGCTCATGAGTATGTTTCAATTTGGGGCATAGTATGTCATGTGCTCCATGTACATCAGTATTTTAAAGAGTTCAATTTGGCGCGTTAGTATAGATCAATTTGGCGCGGCGCTATTTATTATGTTCAAAGTTCATCCTTGTATTGAAAGGTTAAACTTGGCTTATGAGAATGTTTCAATTTGGGAATAGTCTGTGCCATGCTCTAAGTTCATCAGTATATTAAAAAGTTCAATTTGGCGCATTGGTATAGTTCAATTTGGCGCGTTATTTATGATGTTCAAAATACATCATTATATTGAAAGATTAAACTTGGCTCATGAGTATGTTTCAATTTGGGACATAGTATGTTATATGCTCTAAGTTCGTCAGTAAGTTCAATTTGGTGCATTATCATAGTTCAATTTGACACGTTATTCATGATGTTCAAAGTACATCCTTACATTGAAAGGTTAAACATGGCTCATGAGTATGTTTCAACGGGACATAGTATGTGTGATGTGCTCCAAGTTCATCAGTATATTAAAAAGTTCAATTTGGCGCATTATCATAGTTCAATTTGGCGCGTTATTTATGATGTTCAAAGTACATCCTTACATTGAAAGGTTAAACTTGGCTCATGAGTATGTTTCAATGGGACTTAGTATGTGATGTGCTCCAAGTTCATCAGTATATTAAAAAGTTCAATTTGGCGCATTATCATAGTTCAATTTGGCGCGTTATTTATGATGTTCAAAGTACATCCTTACATTAAAGGTTAAACTTGGCTCATGAGTATGTTTCAATTTGGGACATAGTATGTGATGTGCTGTAAGTTCATCAGTATATACTAAAGTTCAATTTGGCGCATTAGTATAGTTCAATTTGGTGCATTATTTATGATGTTCAAAGTACATCCTTACATTGAAAGGTTAAACTTGGCTAATGAGTATGTTTCAATTTGGGATAGAGTATGTGATGTGCTTCACGTACATCAGTTTATTAAAGAGTTCAATTAGGCGCACTAGTATCGTTCAATTTGGCGCATTATTTATGATGTTCAAAGTACATCTTTACATTAAAGGTTAAACTTGGCTCATGAGTATGTTTCAATTTACGACATGGTATGTGATGTGCTCAAACTTCATCAATATAATAAAAAGCTCAATTCGGCGCATTAGTGTAGTTCAATTTGGCGCATTATTTATGATGTTCAAAGTAAATCCTTACATTGAAAGGTTGAACTTGGCTCATGAGAGTATGTTCCAATTTTGGACATAGTATGTGATGTGCTCAAACTTCATCAATATATTAAAAAGCTCAATTTGGCGCATTAATGTAGTTCAATTTGGCGCATTATTTATGATGTTCAAAGTAAATCCTTACATTGAAAGGTTGAACTTGGCTCATGAGAGTATGTTTCAATTTTGGACATAGTATGTGATGTGCTCAAACTTAATCAATATATTAAAAAGCTCAATTTGGCGCATTAGTGTAGTCCGATTTGGTGCATTATTTATGATGTTCAAAGTACATCCTTACATTGAAAGATTAAACTTGGCTCATGAGAGTATGTTTCAATTTTGGACATAGTATGTGATGTGCTCCAAGTACATCAGTATTTTAAAAAGTTCAATTTGGTGCGTTAGTATTTATCAATTTGGCGCATTTTTTATGACGTTCAAAGTTCATCCTTACATTGAAAGGTTAAACTTTGCTCATGAGTATGTTTCAATTTGGGACTTAGTATGTGATGTGCTCTCAGTTCAATAGTATATTAAAAAGTTCAATCTGGCGTGTTAGCATAGTTCAATTTTGGGCATTATGAACATCATAAATAACGCGCCAAATTGAACTATACAAATGCACCAAATTTAACCTTTTGATATACTGATGAACCTACAGCACATCACATACTATGTCTCAAATTGAAACATACTCATGAGCCAAGTCTAACCTTTTAACCATTTTATTCATGAAATTGTAAAATATATAGAGGATATCCTATGATTTATGAGTGATATGATTTTTATCCACGAATGGATATGATATCTGCACGAGCGAGTGTAGCGAGAGAGTGCAGATATCAATATCCACGAGTGGATTAAAATCATATCACGAGTAAATCATAGGATGTTCTTTTTATTCCATAGTTAAAGTCATCATCAGAATCGTCGGAAATTAAGTTATTTAATTCGAATTTTCCAAACGATCCGGCGATGATGACACTTAGCCTCGTTTTGAGTCTGAAGTAGCAAAACTCCACAAACCATCGCATACGGCGTCGTATGTCATGGCTAAAAAACGTATGCTATGGTTAAGTGAAAATTTGTCAAAAATATCATATTTTACCACTGATTACAAAAATACCGTTTTTATTTTCACATATTATCCTATGAATATCATGCTAACTATGGAATAAAATGTACTCTGTAATTACTGTATGCTATGTAATTGACAAATATATTGAAATATATGCATATTTTATACTTAAACTTTGTGTTTTGTTCTGTATTGTTTTGTGACACTTGTTGATAAGGTTGATCCGTACTATCATATATGTTATAAATTATACATGTAACCTAATGATTTGCATACAAAAATAAGTTTTCGTTCAGCGCAATCCCCCATCCTTCATATTATTTAATCCCGGGGATTTTATACCGATTCCTTATTGTATTTCATACATTTGAATATTGTTTTCTTTTTAAAATTTAAAAATGCATCATCATCATCATCATCAACTTCTGCCACATAATTATACAACAATTAATTTCCCTCCAGATGGCTTCACTCTAAACCTCCGAACCCCCTCCCTGACTAGGGGTCTAATTTGTCATAGGAAAGTCAGGATTGTCTCAATTTAAAACTGACAAGGAACAAAGATATCACGGATACGGTTTACCTCATTTTAATTTTAACTACACCGAAATTGCTGCTGATTTTTGGTAAGACTAAAAACAAACTTCAAATTAATAAACGCTTATTTTACTCAAAACGGAGAATAAATAATTTACTGATTTATATTCGAAATATACCCAAATTTTTCATTCCACTTTTTGTATTGACTTACATTTTTAAAATATATTTAAAGTTCATTTAAAATCATATACTTCAACATCATAAAGTTTGATTAAGCTTTCTTAAGTGAAATGCATGATTTTATTTGTTTACATTAGCGCTTAATTGAAAAATAAAATAGGATTAACTCCAAGCAAATTAAGGCACATCAAAGAATATATAGCCTCGCATATAAGAGGCGTATAGTTTGTTTTTGGATTACGTAATACATACTATACTCATCTTTTCTATGTACTTATATCCTACTATTCCTGGCTCTTAAGAATAATCGGAGAATAGTTCAAACGATATTTAGTATCGTAGAGTATATACCACTAATACTAAATGTTCCGCTTCTGAGGCAAGAATAGTTTGTTTCCCATACCAATTACAATATAGTGAGGACATACTGAACTATATTCACAAATAGTTTGCCACTTATATGCTACTATATTTGGCTTTTTGCACAGTGTGACCCGTACCGGTCAATTTTCGTTAGCTGCGTATACCAAGGGTGTATTTGTTGTCATAATTTGTAAGAAAAGAAATCGGGATCAATAATGTTTTAGGCGTCAGGCTTATAGTACTTCTTTGTTTCTGCACGTCATTCTTCATATCGAAACACATATACCGAGATGCATTTTAGTTATTCTACAAAGCAGTGTCCTTTGGTAAATGCGTTTTGGTTAAATGTGCTGATTCAAAAGAAAATACAAAAAGACATGCAATCTAGTTTTATTCCACATCATTGTATTCCTTCATTTAAAGTTACAATTAAAAGAGTGACTAGTAATAATTTTTCCCATTTGAATAATTTCATTTGTTAACTCAAATGAGCAGAAAACTATCAAGGCTCGTTCCTTTATGGCCATTTGTATTGTTTTCAAAATGATGCAACGACAATAGTCAAATGTCCTATCCAAATATAACGTCTTGTAGAGATGATTCCAAACACTAAACAACCATGTGGAGAAATATCAATTGCTGCTCTTTGTCATTTTGATTGATATACCATAATCTGGAGAAGGTCGGAAGAAATCTCATGACTGAACAGTTAATTGTTTCCATCCAGTAATATCAAATCGCAAAGACGGATGGCCCATATGATGGTGATAATCGGGATGTACTATAATCGGGAGAAGGTCGGAAGGAATCTCATGACTGAACAGTGGAATATAACGACTGTTAATTATAGCATCCGGTGACATCAAATCGCAAGGAAGGATGCTCATTCCATGTCACGGGATGGATGCGGATGTACCGTGCTTGCACAGGCTTAAACGAGTTGAGGACGGGGGTATACCTGTCATTGTTCCCTTTGAAGACCTGAAAAATAATTGATTCAAATTCATTCATGATGTTACGCCCTAAACACGATATAAATATATGTCATACTCCGCAACAAATATGGCATATTCACTTCTGGTGTATGACACATTTCACCTGCGGTATATGACATACTAACTAACCAATGAGACCGTGATATGGAAGTACGCAATTGTCAATTGCATCGATTGAGTGAACAGGTAAACGTTTTTGAATTATTATAATCAACAGTACAGTGTATTGAGTATATTAACTGATGCTGAAGTATCACTCAGCAATCTCACGTAATAAACATACTGACGTGTCGCAAAAAGGTGGCGCATTTGTTTTTTAGGGGTATCGCGTGAATGTAACTTTGATTCCCCGGATTATAAAATAATATTCTAATTAAAGTTGTATATCATTTTAAAGCTGTTTCGATGAAGTTTTTAGATCAACTACACTCCGTTCACAATTCTTGCGCGTTCTTTTTGAAAAAAGAGTTTTTTACCAAAACATCTGGCAAATATTCCCTGTTGACACGTTACATTTTGAATTATTTTTCGTCTTTAAACGCTCATAACCCAAACAATATATGACTATTATACTTATTTTTCGTCTTGATAAAGGTAGATAGAAGTTTTATTTCAAAGGATGAATTTTAGTAAGCGTCCCATATTGTGACGTCATAGAGTTTGAAAAATAGAATCTGTTGACAGCGACCTTTTCTGCTCATTTTTTTGTTCCTTCAACTTTTCAGGTGTACATTAAACAAAAAATACGAGATCAATTTTTAATAAATCATACATGATTATTTTGCTCCTAAACTCTAGTTTATTAATAAATAGTTGATTTTGTTCGCAAAAGTATGTGTTTTCTGTTGTATGTGGAAAAGTGGAGGACGAAAGGTTTTCAAAATTCATCAAAATAGGGCTAATTTACGCCATTCGCCTATTTTCAAGCACGGCAACACGTATATTTATTTCACCTAAAATATCAATTGATTCGTGTTTTATGATGCTCCTAGCCCATTAACAATATATATATGATATCAGAGTTATTCGTCTAAAATGTTTTGAGATAGAGAGGTAAATGTGGAGGACGAAAGGATTTTCATTTGTGTACATTTTTCTCAAAAACGTCACATTCTACCATGTTAAAAGCGAGGATCCTCTGGATTACGCCACAAAATGTGTAACAATGCGTGCGCGAGCTTTTTGCGATACATCACTCAATAAACACCCTATGCAGACAGAGCCTGTGGGAAATATTGGGTGCGGCGCAAATGAGCGGAGGGTGCGGAGCTAACGGTCATTTTTGAATTTAAAATTGGGATATTTCTGAAACTAAGCCGTTTTGGGACTTCAAATATACCAAGATATGTGTATTTGACACCAAATATCAATAAAATTATGAAAATAGTAGTGCAATTCATTTTATAGCGACGCAGTATGCCTTAAACATTTCCCAGACCTATATATTTTGAGACTATCCTTTTAATACTGCGTCCCCAGCATTCATAAAAAATGGTGTTCAAGATACACTACCCATGCAAATTATTTTTGCATCTTGGAAGCCAGGCAGTATCTGTGTGATTTTATAAAAATTCGGAAATGTTCTTCAGATATGAGCCCCCTCTAAATATTGGGTGCGGAGGTACGTTTATGGAGCTCCTCCGCACCCAATATTTAGAGGGGGCTCATATCTGAAAAACATTTCCGAATTTTTATAAAATCACACAGATACTGCCTGGCTTCCAAGATGCAAAAATAATATGTATAGATAGTGTACCTTGAACACCATTTTTATGAATGCTGGGGACTCAGTATTAAAAGGATAATTTCAAAATATATAGGTCTGGGAAAGGTTTAAAGCACACTGCGTCGCTATAGAATGAATTGCGCTACTATTTTCACAATTGTATTGATATTTGATGTCAAATACACATATCTTGGTATATTTGAAGTCCCAAAACGGCTTAGTTTCAGAAATATCCCAAATTTAAATTCAAAAATGACCGTTAGCTCCGCACCCTCCGTTCATTTGCTCCGCACCCAATATTTCCCACAGGCTCTGTCTGCATAGGGTGATAAATTCAGGATTCATATATTAGTACGCAGACCACTATAGTAACTATATTGGTAATCCAACGAAGCTTTGCATTTAGAGTCGATTCTCCCAAACAATCAATGCAAGTCTTTCTGTATCTCGTTTTCATCTGCGGTATATGTCATACTCATCTGCAGTATATGGCATATTTCGCAAGTGAGTATGACATACCCCTAATGTGAGTATCGGTATTCACTGAAATCAATGTATCGCATATTCACTGCGGAATATCCCATACTGACGGATTATGCCATATACCGCAGGTGAGTATATTCATCCGTATCACAAATACCGCACAACAATGAATACATGCCATATTCCTCGTAACACATGATTGTATGCATTTTTACGATATGCAAATCGAGTCGCCGGACAACCATCTAAGGATAACACGTGTAAAGGTAAACCAGAAAGGACATGATTATTTAAAAGAAAGATGAACGAATGCGTCAAAGTCGAAATATTTGAACATATTGATGCGAGATCTTATCGAGACCGAAAATGCTTGTAAAAATTGCATGTAGATCCGCAATTGCATGTAGACGATATTTTGCCATCGTATGACCAGAGTTTATTCTGCGCCTTGCATAGACCGAAATCGTTAATTAGCTTCTCTAAATAAAAGATATACGACTAAAACGGTTGTGTTACACATGAATTGAATATATATGTTTTCACCTGGTTCCCATCCTTCTCGATTTTCTTAAATGAACTGCCATCTTCGCTGTAGGAAACTTTGTAGGACGTCACCCACTGGTATGCCCCGTCTCTACCCTGTGTAACAACACCATTCACTTGCATCAATTTTCCCAGATCTGCTTGTATCCATTGATTCACTTTTATTGCCGAAGACCATGCTCCCTTGTAAGGATTCCTGGAATATAGACAAAAAATCAGAAAGCGAAAACAACTGTTCAACATGATGGCATCACTCGGGAAACAACCATATTGCAACCGTATCTGGTCAACTCGGACCCTTAGTTAGCTCAGACTCTTGTCAACTTTGACCCTGCTTAACTAATAATACATGATAATACAGTTATACTACCTTTGACCAAAAAGTCTAATTAAGAAATCTTGTATCCACTGAAAAGCATTTATTTAGGCTGTTGAAGTAAACAAAATATAGTATGGGGAATGTATAGTGAATTTGTGTTTAAACCAATTTTTATTTAAAAACTCATTTTCTAAATTTTCTGTTTGTCTAGAAAATTCTTGGGATTAAGTAATGTGTACCATTTACACAATTTGAGAAATTATTTGAATACATGAAACTCTTTTAAAGGTTCAGGATAAGTTTCCCGTATAAAAACAATGTACTGGATCAGTCTATTTTAAGAAATAAGAGGAGTTTTGTAAATTCCAGTTTATTGAAATCCTCTTGAAAATACAATTATTCGTCAGGAAGTTACACTGATTCTATAAACTTTGAGAGAGTGCATTATCCAAAGGATCCATGAGCATCAGCCAACGATAATAATTACTTGTTTCATTTCCAGTACATTTTATTCGATCATGTGTTAATACGTGATGGGCAAATCTAGATACCAACTGTTTCCTGAAAAGTTTCCAATGAAATGTGAAATTGATTTGTCTATAATCAAATGTTTCAAAGTTTATCGATATTGTCTTTTTGGATGAAAAATATAAAAAATGCATAAAAATCTCCCCCGATTTATCGTTTGATTTGAAACTTTAATATCTTACTTTGATTAAAAATCATGGGATTTCAAATTAATTCACACGTTTACTTCCTATAACTTAGAATTTCTAATTTATTGTCAAATACTATATGTTTGAAATAAAAATTAACCTACTTCATGTAAAATCAGACTCTGGTTATTCAATATTCAATCGTCAAAAGTCAAAAACATGATACAAGCTCTTTTTAGAATATTTGAAATATGCAAAATAAGCGCTGTTATTCCACCTGCCCCGCCTTTGCGTTGTTATGCCAACCACAGAATTGACAAATGAAATCCCTCGAGGCTGAAACTTCAAAAATAAATCCAAATATGTTGTAACTGCAAATTAAATTGAAATCCATGAACAATTAAAAATGTTATTGTTACATTATTGTCTTTCTTTCCTGAACACCCTGTATATACTGTTCATTTCAGTGCTAAAACCAAGGGAAAATATAAAGAATACACAGGTCCAAATTGACTAGGGTCCGAGTTAACTCAGACTGGGAACCATTGGAACCAAGCCTTATTACAAATACAGTGTACGTGCCGTTGCGACTAAGTTATATGAGCCATACTGCAGCTATGGTATATACCATATTGTAACTATAGTAAGTAGCATATTCCGTGTGATATTTCATCTTAAGTACGTACCATATTTATAATACAGTATGTACCATATTGTAACTACAGTACTTGCCATAATGCAACTACAGTACGCGTGATATTACATTTACAGTATGTACCATATTGTAACTACAGAACGTGCCATAATGCAACTACAGTACGCGTGATATTACATCTACATTATATACCATATTGTAACAACAGTACGTACCATATTTAAACTACAGTATGTACCATATTGAAACTACAGTAAGTGCCCTATTGCAACTACAGTACGTGTGATATTACATCTACAGTATGTACCATATTGTAACAACAGTACGTACCATATTCCGTGTGATATTTCATCTTAAATACGTACCATATTTATAATACAGTATGTACCATATTGTAACAACAGTACGTGCAATATTGCAACTACAGTACGTGTGATATTACATCTACAGTATGTACCATATTGTAACAACAGTACGTACCATATTCCGTGTGATATTTCATCTTAAGTACGTACCATATTTATAATACAGTGTGTACCATATTGTAACTACAGTACGTGCCATAATGCAACTACAGTACGTGTGATATTACATCTACAGTATGTACCATATTGTAACTACAGTACGTGCCATATCCCATGTGATATTTCATCTTAAGTACGTACCATATTTAAACTACAGTATGTACCATATTGTAACAACAGTACGTACCATATTCCGTGTGATATTTCATCTTAAGTACGTACCATATTTATAATACAGTATGTACCATATTGTAACTACAGTACGTGCCACATTGCATTGCAACTACAGTATGTGTGATATTACATCTACAGTATGTACCATATTGTAACTACAGTACGTGCCATATTGCAACTACAGCACGTATGATATTACATCTACAGTATGTACCATATTGTAACTACAGTACGTGCCATATTCCGTGTGATATTTCATCTAAAGTACATACCATATTTAAACTACAGTTTGTACCATATTGTAACTACAGTACGTGCCATAATGCAACTACAGTACGTGTGATATTACATCTACAGTATGTACCATATTGTAACTACAGTACGTGCCATATTCCGTGTGATATTTCATCTAAAGTACATACCATATTTAAACTACAGTTTGTACCATATTGTAACTACAGTACGTGCCATAATGCAACTACAGTACGTGTGATATTACATCTACAGTATGTACCATATTGTAACTACAGTACGTGCCATATTGCAACTATAGTACGTATGATATTACATCTACAGTATGTAGCATATTGTAACAACAGTATGTGCCGTATTGCAACTATAGTACGTGTGATATTACATCTAAAGTACGTACCATATTTAATCTACAGTATGTGGCATATTGTAACTACAGTACGTGCCATATTGCAACTACAGCACGTATGATATTACATCTACAGTATGTACCATATTGTAACTACAGTACGTGCCATATTGCAACTACATCACGTATGATATTACATCTACGTACAGTATGTACCATATTGTAACTTCAATACGTGACATATTGCAACTACAGAACTTGTGATATTACATCTAAAGTACGTGCCATATTGTAACTACAGCACGTGTAATATTATATCTTCAGAACGTACCACGTACCATTGTAGCTACAATATAACAGCTACTGCACGTACCATGAAACAAAAAAAGCGTATTTCTATTGTAATAATTACGTATGTGCTCACTTTAAAAGAGCGTAAGAATTATTTAATGCTCTATAGGATATTTACAGTTCTTGTGTGCCAAGTCTTGCCCTACTTGGTCCATGGTAACGATCCCATACAGTCGAGGCTATCAACGTATTGTCTGCGACTCTGTGATTTGGTCCAGAAACCAAAAACTCACCAACGCATTCATCTAAAAGTATTGTGATAGTCAATCAACAAAAACCACTGGTCGGCCTCTTCTGTTCTTTCATATTAGGCGGTACATAGTTTCAACTAAAAAGTACTGACAATTTGTTTGGTGTAAATTCTGTGTCAAAAGTTTACGTACATAATTTTTTTGTAATTTAGGTGCACGAAAATGTACGATTTTGCATGCTCTTTATTCCGGACGCTTTCAATCTATTTCAGACGCTCAAAAAACGAAAGTTCTCAATTCCGGACGCTAATAGTCTATCTATTCCAGACACTATTAAACTATTCCCGACGCTCTCTCCGAACGCTATCGAATCAGGACGCTCCATTCTGGACGCTCACTATTAGACCGAACGCTACCGATTCAGGACGCTCCATTCTGATAATTTGGGCATTTCCGTGACTTAGACAAGCTGCAACTTTCCTCCTGGGATGGTTAGTCACAAATTTTTCTCTAAAATATGCCTAATTCAGTTGTATGAAGAGCCAGAATGTTTCGGGTCAAGAGCCCAACTACGAAAAATAGTTTTCAAAGGGATAAATGCAAATGCCTTTTAATATGAACAAAATGTCAACTGCGGGGGAGTTTTCTGCCTCTGCGATATGGTTTGTTCATTAAGAATAAGATAAACCATGCCCATGTATTCCATTCTGACAGAATTTCATCATATTATTACGTTCGGAATCCCAGTTCGGAATCTCCCCGGAGCAATGTCTCTTCGAAATATTAATGTCAGGTAGGTACAAAATAATATTGATAATACACGTAGACACTTAATTTGGCTCCAGTTTTAATTTGACGGATTGGCGATTTTATAAAATCCACCAAATTAAAAATCCGTCAAATAACTTCTGGGGTCCCCTTTCCCATCATGATAAACCATGACATCTCATTTCTTCTCAGCCCTGAGATGTCATGATATAATGAGTTTGATTTGGTGATCCAGGAGAGCCCAAAATTGAGGATTTTCAAGATCTTTCATCCTAGCTCATATTTCATCTCATTGGCGTCAGAAGGGGGAGGGCGTTGGGGGCGACCGCCCCCCCCCCCCCTCCCTGATTTTTTAGATTTCAAACCTAGCCTAGAAGTGAAAGCTCTAGAGCTTATTAAAGTAGGCCTAAACGCGTAATGTCAGAAATGATTCTATGTCAGTATATAGGCTATATGTACATCAAGCAGATTTCTCATATTATATTTAATTACCATGTATAGTTTCTCAGGAATCCATACAGTATGTAAAAGTACTTTGAAGAATAAGTGCAAAATGTATATTAAAGTAAAAGTCTAAGTTTTTTAGTCAAAGTCCTTTTGACGCCCCTGCATCTAATTGGGGTCATAAACTTGTGAACCTGTGCCGAAAATACACAAATACTTTATCCTTAATCATGATAAAATTCACAGGGTAGCAAGATTTCGATGACAATATTTCTTAAATGTTTTTGAACGAAATAAACAAACCGGTTGTTTAGTAAATATCGCCGTGACAATATTGTGCAGTTAATTTTTTCACATCAGACCTAAATTAGAAGGTTAAATCAAGGTAAAATATTTGCTCGTCCCCTTCGCCTTCAAAACTTTACACAATTTTGAAAATTCTAAAAGCGTTCATATTTAGACAATTTGAACTGGAGCCGTTACCACCCTTGGTATGCGCAGCTGACGAAATGGACCGGTACGGGTCAAAAGCTGGACCGGTTCGAGTTAACGGTTTTATTTGAATTTAAAACTGCCATAACTTGCTCAATATTGACTTTTTTAGTTTCTAAGTTGAAAAATATGATGTCTCTGAATGATTTTAAGTTCCCTAAATTTTTACAGATTTTCAAACGGAACAAATTCTCGAGAGAAGACCAAAAATAGCATTTAGAGATTTTTGTTCCATTTAAAAATCTGTAAAAATTTTGGGTACTTAAAATCATTCGGAGGTATCATATATTCCAAATTAGACACGAAGAAGTCAATATTGAGCAAGACTTGCAAAATCCGGCCACATGGCGATTAATTACGACTATTTAATTTCGTCTTGGCATGTCTAGCCATGGTGTGCTTAGAGATTTCTAGACTCTAGTCACGCTCTGTCCATGCCAGCTCTCAGCACGTCTAAGCACGCCTAGATACGCGGAGTTTCTAGGCCGGCTAAGCACGTCTAGAAATTACTAGAAATTCCACATTTGATGCAGTGCAGAAATACTTTGAGATTTTCCGAGACGATGATATGGTACAGTTCTGGTAGTCGGGTTCTGTTTGTGCATGGCAGCGATTTCAGTTTATATAACACTTAAATTCATTTACCGAACGAGCCACGTTGCCTCATAAGCATCAAATATACATTTTGTTGTATCTTTTTTACTATTTATTACTATTATCTATTATTTACCTCGTGATTCACATTCTGAACTCCGCATTTTTTCCAAAATATCTTTTATCGTAGATATACCACCAGTTATCTCGTCAACATCCGCCTTAACCTCCTCAATTGTCGCCTTGGACTGTGTCACATCGTCCTTCATTTCTGCTATGTCAGGGACATCTCCTCCATTTCCTGCGCAGCAATTTTGGGTTTCAGTCTTCAACTCGTTAAGTTTCGTCACCATGATTTCGATGTCCGTTTTCTTGCATGTCGGAGATTTTCTTTTCCTTTTCTTCGCTTCCACGTTTACTGCAAGCGTAACAAGCATTACTATCAGAAATACCTTGAGCTCCATTGTTCCAACAAGTCGTTTACCGAGACGATGATATCGCAGTCGAGTTCTGCTTGTGCATGGCAGCGATTTCAGTTTATATAACACTTAAAGTCATTCACCAAACGGCCCACGTTGCCTCATAAGCATCAAATAAACATTATTACAATGTGTGTTCGTAAAATGTGGCGTTGCATCTTTGTGTTTATATCCTTCTATACAGATAAGGCAATAAAATGGTAATGGTGACACATGTCAGACCAGCGGTCGAAAAAAACGCTGCTTGTGTATGTTAAAATCAAAAACAATTTTTATCTAGAATATATAGTTAACGAGACCAAATTTTTTAAAGAACTAAATGATATCTAATTAATGTTAAAATTGTTTTATCTTTGGAAATCGAGAAAGTGTTCAAAAATATATAATAAAGTTAAAAAATACGCCGGTAACAAAATATTTTTTAAGAAAATCTAAAGCTCTCTCAATGTGTCTAAACACTTTTCGGGTATAGCTTTGCATGATAATATGCACTTCTAAAATTTTAAGGGAATCCCTTGGGCAGATTTTTATGAAACAAAATAAATGTATATAAAAAAACTAAAATAAAAATAAAAATAGACCCTTGATCAAACCCTCGATTACTTCTATATACTTAAATTGATTGAACTAAGTATAGCCAAAATTAACCGATAAATGACCATATTATGTTTAAGAGAGCTTTTCATTGTGAATTTCTAAATTAGATTTTTGATAGAACTTTTGCTCATAAAAGGACCCCTGTTAAACTCCGCCAGAATTTTCACTTCACATTTTCAATGCATAGTCGCACCTCAGTTTGAATCTGACCGAGTATTTGGTGAGATATTCCATAATCAAGAACTATGACGTTTGATTAGTCTGGTCATTTTAAAAAAACAATTATTGATAAGTTTATTGGTCTCTCCCCTCCCTTCGGAAACCGTCTTCGAATGAAACTTTAAATATTCATCGTACATTAAGATTTATCGAACTGGTAACATTTTGAATTAATTCATCATAATACTTTTGAATCTAAGCTATTCTTTTTAGCTGACTTTTACACTGCTGTTCTGACAAAGCAAAATATATGTGGAACCTGAATCTTATTATTAGACTCCAGATTGCTTTTGCCAGTATTCTTCATCATGAGTGATGAAATAGCTATAAATTCATCATTCATCATTCAAAATGTTAAAGCAATGTAGAACATATTATATTCTGGGTAAGACTAATTGTTTTAGGAACCGAGCTTCTTTGGACTATATATTCAGGGGGCGTATTTTTATTTTGACACCGGCAGCTGACGGGATGGAAAGGAACCTTCCTTAGCATCTCATCGCGATCAGCGCCCCCTCTGTCTTGAACTTTCCAACTTCTCCCACGCAAGAGGCAGATAAGCGGGGTTGTAAACCAGAATGAGAGCATCATATTTATTCAAATAAAAAGTGATTTGAATTGCAATTTAAAACAACTGGGAAATAAACGTCTTTGGATAAAAATTTAAATATTCATCGTACATTAAAAAATATCGAACCGGTAACATTTTGATCTTCATTATACTTTTAATAGCTATTCTTGTCGTGTCAGACACGCAGTTGTTCCGCTAAGCTGACATTCACAAGCTGTTCTGACAAATGGAAGTATATGGAGAAAAATTTAGCATAATTCATATCTAAACTTAACTTCGATTATGACAAAATAAATCCCGCCATGTAATGGCTATTTCATTTCTAAAGTAAGAATTCTGTTGAAACTCAGCTCTGGTCTAATTCGTAGCGAAGTTATTGATAGAACATTTTTCTTATTTTAACTTTTTACATCATTAACACGCCCGGTGATCGTACAAAATGGATGGAGGGGGGATAAGGCGATTGGAAAAGTTGATTGCTCCAGGGACTTTAAAGATACTGAACTTGGATGACCAAAATGAAATGAAACCAATGGATAGCATGAGATTTGTCAATGGAGAAATAACATGGGGAACACTTATCTTAAAGCAATTGAGTTTTTCTTTCAAGAACTATTTGATACATCAAAATAAATAATAGTAATGCATTAAACATCGTAAAAATGATTGCATTTTTGGTGAAAATGGGGTCAACATCTTTGATTTCAAACGTGTGTTGATGGGTTGATTGCTAGTTAGATATTTCCGAGTTTGTTTGACTTTATTATTACTGTATACAATTTTCTTTGAGATAATGAATTTATCTAAAAGATAAACTCTTCATTGTCAGAAAAAATCATAATCCAAGATATACCTTCTGAAATTGTTTGCGATAACCTACGTGCTCCTTTACAACTGAATTGCCAAATGAATAGGCGCAGTGCATGGCAAAATATGTTAGGTCATCTAGTATTTTTTTTGAACTGATGCCCTTCTAAGATATGAGATCAATTAGAAGAGGCGCATCATCACCAATGTGCAATTTAGTCAATGTTTTTGCTATAAATTGGGCAACAATGGTCTACACGACCTGTAATAAATAGGTATAAGGGACGTTATTATCACATTACTAATGACATTGCTCACTTTTTTTTAAAAAGTTAGTTTCCATGCGTTATACAAAAAATAATCTAAATAAATCAATAGTAAGACATGATATGACATGCTACTTGAATTTATTCTTACGGCTCCAAATTTTCCCATTTTTCATTTTCCTGAGAGATATAATATCCAGTTTCTTACTGGGTTACTGAGTTTAGTTTTTTCAAATACACGAGTTCTTGTGAATTTGTTCCATCGTAAAGACATATAAATCCCCCCTTCCATCCTATCAATAAATCTTCCAAAGTTGAGTTTTCTTGCAGAAATATTTCGACATCGTAAATGTATGTTTACAAGATTTACACGTTTTACATGTCTCATAGTCTACCGAACTTTTCAATGGTATCAACTATTATGCCAAACCGAAATGTTGTAAAAAGCTGGAAGAAGGAGGTTCGGAAGATGTAAAAAGTTATAAAAGAAAAAACATCTTTCGGAGTAAAACATGTCTGCGCCGTTTTCAATATAACATCAGAACTGGGTTCCAAAAGAACCTTTAGTTTATAAATGAAATACTAAGTATCTTACCCATCCAATTTTAAAATGATTTGAAACCATAGATCTCTTTTTTAAATAATAAGGGTTAAATTATATTTTATTCAAATTCTATCACTGTTAGATCTGCTTTTAAATGGACTTTTGGCATTTTGCAGTTTATTGACATAGGCCTATACATAGCACTGATGGATCCAGGGGGGGGGTAGCAAAATCTTTTTTGGGCCAAACAATTTTGTAGGGCCTTTTTTCTCACTAGCCTTTGCATTCGTTTGACTTCACAATTCTTAAAAGAGAGCTTCGTCTTCAGTAGTTTAACTAGACTCTGCACGCAGGGTATTTTCTCACAACAATGAAAACAAATTTTAGTATGTTATTAAAAAGATGTCGCCACATTATGTGTGAAAATGAAATACGCACCACTCCCTGTTAACAAGATGGTGGAAATATTTACGTAAAAAAGTTATCACAATTTTTCATGATTTATGAAACGGTAGAAATTGCCAATGTGCGCAACAATGGCAAAAGACGACATATACATCAATACAGAATCTCCTGGGAAAATAAGAACCAGAAAACCGGAGTGTGACTCCCCAGAAACGGTGTTTGATAGCAATGACAAAACAATTCATAGCGGGCATTTTATGATGTCCTATGTCCATGATGCTGATGACGAAGATGATAGCCCCACGGAGAATAAAGGATTTAATTTTAAAGCTGCTACACAAGAGACATCAAACACCTATCAATTTGGACCCAAGAATACTAATTCCATCTCCATTGATTCATCACTCACCAAACTTTTTGAATGCCTCACACTCGCATACAGGTGAGTTTGTTTGTTTGTTTTACACTCGCATACAGATGAGTTTGTTTCACAATCGCTTACAGGTGAGTTTGTCTGTTTCACACTTGCATACCGGTGAGTTTGTTTGTTTCACTGTGAGTTTGTTTGCAGTCAAAATCTGTGTTTGTGATGTTGTCACGACCGTATGCACTGATGGAGGGGGTTGGTGTGAGCGAGCCCCCTTGGTCAAAAACTGTTTCAAAATTATTCACGAATCAGTGAGCCCCCCCCCCCCCCCCCATCGGTCTTTTTTCGTAAACCCCAGAACTTTTTGAAAAGTGAAAAGCTGGCCAGGGCCTGAATTAAATTTGAAATTAAGATCAAATGACCACAGTGTTATGTGTAGTTTTATGTGGAAAATACATTGTTTAGTTACAATACTAAATTGTGCATTTTAGATTTTTGGTTTTATGGGTAGTCGTAGACTATATCCTCTTGTCTGAAATTTGGAAGGAAATTTGGAAGGAAATTCAGTCTATTGGATATAGACTAGGGTAGTAGGTCAAAACTTCAGCCTCTTATTACTTATTAGGTACTCTCACTGTCTCATCTATTGATATACCTCCCCCATTTCAAAAGTGGTAGTTAGGCACCCTGACATTGATTTTCAAAACCAAAATTTTTTCTTGTGTTGTATATGCCACTGTATTCTCCTCGGCTCTTCAGGCCTGTCAACTTGGGAACACCTAACATGAGTGACTTGGAAATGTTGAACACCTCCCTTCAAAATGTGGACACCTTGGTCCAAATCTGAAAAATTTCGAACGGAATGCGTGACATATACGGAATTCGCGTGAAAAGTCCGAACGAAATGCGAACTCCAAAATATATATAGGTTTTGTATCATTTGTGAAACATCACATATATGCACAACAATGTAGAACTGCCCATGCTTTTGTAAACTCATGAAAATTGAACAGAAATAATATATATAATAATATTTTGACCTGTAAAATGAATGATTTAAGGCCATAATAATACAAGAATTAAATAATAATGACCTTATTTTTGCTGTTGCCGTTTGTAAATCAAACCATTTGTATAATAATTATCCTAATTCGGAGTTTGGTATTATTTCAGAAAAAGGCATGTTGCTCCTAATCAAGGTTATAATGACTGAATGAATACACTTAGTTAAACAATATAGATAATGGGCAGAGGAAAAAATACCTGCAGCCATAAAAGGAGACTTGTATTTTTTTATTTACTGGTAGCTAATAAATATCATGAGTATATCTGCATTTTCTGATATGAACATCCTGGTTTGCGGAGACAGTTGTTTACATAGTTATTCCCAGGGTTTTTATTATATCTCACCACAGAGTAAAACAACATAACCTTGAAATGATTCTATCCCTCTTTCTATGTTCATCTTTATATACCAGTTTTCTAAGTACAGTTAAAACTAATCCAAATGCCTTAGGGACCAGCCAAAGGTGTTCTTCAGTTATGTAATGGGAGATAACAATTTTGGGGTCAAGAAAAAGTGTTCACATTGAGAAATGTTCACATTAAGAGGTGTTCACATAAGACATGTTCACATTAAGAGGTGTTCACATAAGACATGTTCACATTAAGAGGTGTTCACATAAGACATGTTTACATTAAGAGGTGTTCACATAAGACATGTTCATATTAAGAGGTGTTCACATAAGACATGTTCACATTAAGAGGTGTTCACATAACATATGTTCACATTAAGAGGTGTTCACATAAGACATGTTCACATTAAGAGGTGTTCACATAAGACATGTTCACATTAAGAGGTGTTCACATAACATATGTTCACATTAAGAGGTGTTCACCTAAGACATGTTCACATTAAGAGGTGTTCACATAAGACATGTTCATTAGACAGGTTTCACTATATAAGGGAATAGCTGACCTAATTCATGTAGATATAAGTTCACTTTTGGCATAGTCCCAGACGACAAGGGCATATCAATTTGAAAACAGCTATGTCAGGCAATTAACCGTTATTTATTTATTGACTAAAGATGACTAAAGATTGCACATATCTATTCTGATACTCATAGCATCTTTCTGTTTCACCTGAGCATATATCTGTTCAAATCAGGTCTGTTGACCTGGAAAATACAAAGTATGTCTATCCTGTTAATAAGGTTATTTTCACCCTGACATCAAGGGTATGTCCAACTTGTCATCCAATGGGATGCTATTAGAGCCATTTACCTGTTTTCTAATCAACTATTTTGAATACACACCCATCATGATAAACCATGACATCTCATTTCTTCTCAGCCCTGTTTCAGGTGAAACAGAAACATGAATGAGTATCAGAATGACACAAAACCAAATTTTCTGACAAAATATCGATTTGATATCTATAGATTTGAATTTTGCATGTAGAATCACCCATTTTCATTCCTCCATTCATCCATTCCTTTAGTTCATCACATCAATCTACGATTTTCAGACAGATAAGCTGCTATTTTTCTGAACCATTCGTCATAACATTTAGTGGTGTTCCCTTACTGGAGATTTCCATGATAGGTTATGGCTACTTCTTTTTCTCTTTCCTTGTTTTGGAGAAGCCTAGCAAGTTCATAATATAGACCCAACAAATGGTACAATTTTAAAATGTAAAAACCCGTGTGTGTTAACAAGTTGTCCTAAAGCTGAATGTCCCTACTTGATCACCAGGGTAACCACAATATAGAATCACAATGAAGATATATGATATTACCAGGGTAACCACATATTGTTCTAAGTTTGTTTTCTTTATTTTATGATAATACCAGTAAAATACAAATATGTACTTGGTCTATGCTGAGGCATAATATTGACCCCATTAAAATGAATTGCATTATATATAATTATGATGCATATAAGTGTTTGGATAAGAAATAATAATGAAAACTTGAAGACATGTCAGAGAGAGATTCTGTGTTACCATTAACCAATATATTTATGGAGTAGTGGTCTCCCCAGGATTTTTTCTCAAGTTGGGGCAAAATTTTCATTTTCACAATTCAGACCAATTCAATTGGTCAAAATATGCCAATTTTTCATAATTTTTTCTCATTTTCAACTGGGTGCAAATGGATTTTCACGTGGGTGCAAGCCTGTTTTTAAATCTCATGTAGGTGCTGCTGCGCCCACTTGTTTTAATGCTGGGGAGACCACTGTGGAGATTAATTATTTTATAATTTATTGGTTCTTTATTTGATGAGAGAGATATGGAACCATTATGACTTATGATAGTAACTCCTGCCTTATCTAACACCTCTTGACCAGCCAAAGGTATACTTGCCACTGCTGTAAAAGTGTGTGTAAATAAATAAATAAATAAATAAAAATACTGTAAATTGGTTTTAATTTCAAAACAAGCCCAATCTTTATAATAGTGCCAATTTAAAGCAATTTACAGTATTCACATTTTGTATTCACATTTCTGTTCACATTTTGAGGTTATATAAATAGACGTTCGGATTGATTCGATCAATTCTGAAGAGCATTGTTTTTCATCTTCGTATTGATTTGATTGAAATACTATGGGTGACATTTACAGTATTCACATTTTGTATTCACATTTTGATGTTATATAAATAGGCGTTTGATTTGATCAATTCTGAAGAGCATTGTTTTTCATCTTCATATTGGTTATACTGAAATGCTATGAGAGACATAATCAGGCTATTGTATCAGCACAAATACAAAAATTGATCCATCGCAAGCTACTGCAACTGTGCGCAGAGTTCAGCGTCTGTTAAAGTGCAGAAGGGTAGCATTCATATTTAGTAGGCTAAGCATCCATAAATAAGCACAATTCATAGCTAGTATTTGCTATTCAACTGACAGCTGATGGTTTAACCTACTATTTCATGGCCAACACATTAAATTTGAATAAAATAGAAGCAGATACTTCTTGTATTTAGCTTTCTCAAGAAAGTAATAATATTTAAGTTAAATCACATTTAAATGAATTGGCTATAAAATCACGAATGCTAATAACATTTATGCACTGTCCTTAAAATGGGAGGATGTATTAAGTATGTGTGAATATAACATATTTACACACTATGATTCGTTGCAATCTGAAGGTGTAGTTGTTGTTGTTGAACTTAACACTTTGGGTCCAAAGTTTCTCTTATGTACTCATTGTACTCAGCTGGTCATATCAATAATTACCAACTACTGTTATATCTACTGTTGAACCCTACCCTGAGCATATTATAGCTTAGTTATGAACTAACCTCTCTGAAGAGTTAAGACAGTCGTACAGTTTAGCGACCCTACCCCCACTACCAACGACCATCAGAGACCCTACCCCCACTATCAAAGGCCATCAGAGACCCTACCCCCACTATCAACGGCCATCAGAGACCCTACCCCCACTATCAACGGCCACCAGAGTCTTGGACATAAATCATAAATGATGTTGATCTCAATTGCACTGATATTTTTCAGCTAATCAGCAAACAGAAAGAAATATGTTTAAATAATGTTGTAATTTTGGTCAATACTGGGTAAACAATGACTTCAGTCCAAATGTTCATACGTGTTTATTTAGAAAATCGATATTCTGGCAACAAAGCGCTCTGTTTGGATCCACTCATTCAGAGGTTTAACTTTAAGTATAGACGAAGCTATCTTTTAAGAACCTGTCAATTTATGATTTACATATATGTACCATGCTTGAGAATTCACATGTAATTTTAGTTTTCATATAAAGTTCAATTTTCATTCAACTGGTTGTATTGCATCATCCTTACACGTTTCTTAAAAGATAAGGTTTGTCTACACTATTAAAGTTAAAAAGAAACCTTTGGACTTGCTGACCAGAGCTCGGTGTTGCCAAAAAGACAATTTTCTCCATATGGTAATTTTCTCTTGACACCATTCTTGCCAGTATTGACCCATATTTAAACCTCATTGATTTTTTCTGCATGCTGATTGGTTGAGAAAATCTCAGCGCAACGGGCTTGTTTATGTTTATTTATTATTTGAAATACACACAA